AAACCGCTTTACAGTAAACCTCATGTTTTGCAATATTCTTCTTCTCCGATAGCAGGGTTCCTATTAGTGACTGTGGGATACTAGTGTTTTGTTGGAGATTGATGCAGTGGATGACGCCCAACCAATCCCACTCAAGGGACAGCAACGTCAACACGAAGTAGTGTCTCTGCCTGTTTTCATGTTCCAGTGTTGCAGCTACACTGGCCTTCTGACGAATGCTCTTTCAACTGACACAGCAGCACCACTTCTCATCTATGACAAGTCATTCACGTATGGCGGAGTATTGTGGTAAGATTACATCATGGAAGCTGCCGAAGGTCCAAGATTCTTGTCACCTTGCGTGGACGATTCAGCAGCTTTGCTACTATCTCGCACACGGCTCCACGGGTAGTCATTTTTGGGTTGCGCTGCATAACAGTAGTGTTCTTCGAAAGTGGTGCACCGCAACGAGTAGAATTTCCAAAGCTGCAGTCATTCTGGACTGATCGATGAACCACTTCGAAAGTGTACGACGCACAATGACGTCTGACCAAAAAACATGTTAGGTAGTCTGCATATGTACCTCCCATGGAAGTTTTCGTCAGGAAGAATGCGTACTTGTTCAAAATACATTTTGCCAGCAAAAAACGCACTTACCCTCTTCGTCTTTCGACATGCGTGCCTCTGCAACGTAGTCATTGTAACTTCCTCGGTTGATTTCGTTGCTATCCTACAAAGCAAAAGAAGTAATTATCCCCAAACACAGTTGAAACGTTTCGAAAATGTGGAAAACTTCGCGAGGAATCATTGGAAAACCGTTCGACAGTGATTTTTGTGTTTGAGACAAGCCTGTGAGTGTATCTAATAAGGGTTGACCTAGATCACTGTCCTTCTTCCTTTCCTTATTCGACCATCACTCAGAAGAGTAATACAGTGTGCTTCACCACTAGAGGTACACTCCTTATTTTAGCGAAATTATTTCCTGAGACTCTAATCCATTTTGTAGTATACTCTGTAAGGTTCCAGGGGAAAGAAAAAGGCATGTTCCCAAGAAGCAGGTATCTTTGGGGTACTCCTTGAATTTTTGACCTTTCGCGCTATACATCCACCCTGATGAATGGCTCGCAATTTCTCTTTTCAGTCCGGTTATAAGTTCATAGTGGAAAAGCATGTCTCACTGTGGAGGTGTCTTTAGTGAAGGGAGGGTTCGAGGATTCGATCAAAGTGTCGCAGGACTTTCATTCCTACCTAACAAGTATATGGGGAAGTAGTGGGTCTCGAAAGTCTGGTAAGGTGGTATAGCATTTGATATCATGGATCATAGCTCGGTTTTCATCTTCCGGGCTCCGAAGAAGGCAATTCTGGCGAAACGTTAGCGGACTGATGTTTCTAACAACCTTGAGTGAGCCAAAAAAATCTTA